TCTAAGTCAATAAATGAGTCTTTCAGTAGAGGTTCAACCCATGGAAAGTCAGATGTGGAAAGTGTTATTTCTAAAGGCACGCCAACGACAAGGTTAAAGGAGAATGGAGAGAGTGGACAGCCCTGACGAACACCACTTGAGGTTATCACTCACTTGACCAGTTGTGTTCGAGTAGAGAGCCTTCACGATCAACAGAGTCAAATGCCGCCTTAAGGTCGAGAAATACTACCATTGTGGGGCGTCTGAATGTGTGTCTCTGTTCTAGGACCTGAAGTAGTGTGAATATTTGATCAATACAACCACGTCCAGGTCGAAAACCAGCCTGATTTACTCTAGTCTGCTCTTCACGAGCTTTGCTTAGGCGTCAAAGTGTTATTGAAGCTAATATTTTAGACACTATATTGGTCAAACTAATTCCTCTGTGATTGTCACAGGAGAACTTTTGTCCTTTCGTATAGACTGGTACAATCAGTGATTGAGACCAGTCAGATGGGATTACGTCCAGTTTCCAGATTCTACCTAAGACCTCAGTCAATCTCGCTGCTAATACTGGACCGCCATCTTTGCGTAGGCTTCTTGTCACCTTGCGCTTAAGCTGACTGTTCTGTTCGTTATGTTCAGAGCCAGATGCAACGAGTTTTCGAGCATGTATCAGTGCGGTAGATATTGCTGAGATCCAGTGTTTTTCCCTAAAATTATTGCAACGGAAAAAGGACGCTGAAAACCTCTTCACAGCATCTTAGTTGGATAGTACTGTCGTTTAATTATTTCTTTTCTCTGTCGTGTATTTCAAACTTTGTTCTGATATCTTTAACTACATTTCGTGTTCTTCAGTCTGCTTTGCTTGAGCTTGCATTGTGTGATTTTGACTAAAGAGCGTGGTTTCAGGAGATCAGGATAACATTCCGCGTAGTCTACTTGTTGGCATTAGCGGCGCGAGACGATAAAGGAACGTGAGCAGTGTTAGTCTTGGGGCTAAGAGTATTATTAGCAGGTGTAGGAAGGACTTGATGGTGAATAACTTGGTCTCGTGTGTTGTCACGTGTATTCAGGCTGATGTCTCTTCCCGGCTGCTCACACAGTTGAAGGGTATTTCTTGAGGAACCTGAAAAGGAAGTTAGATCAGTGTTAGTTTTAACGACCTAGGATCATGACGGCAGAGTCCAGGTGACAACTGCTAGAGGCCGGTTGCGCACGGCTTTTTTGTGGGAAGTTTTCAACCTGTTGGCTATCTTCTCCAAAAAGCCTTACCTTTGGAGACGGAATCCATGAAGCTAAGTGAGGCGTGACAATTTTAGGGTCAACCTTTTCTAACCCTTTGCTTTCATGTGAGTGGGCAGAATTGCTATAGGTTCTAGTTGTCCAATAGAAACATCTTGCTGCTGACATGCCTCTACAGTCATCAGTACGACTTCACCCTAAGAACTTGAGTTGTTGATTTAGTCATGCCTTTCACCGATCGACCTACCTGGTATGGTAGAACCTAGAAGAATATATGTCCCAGCCAATATAGCTTGATAAGGTCATCAAGATAGGCAAACTCGGCCACCATTCCAAGGTAGCAGCTACGATCGGGTACAAGCTAGGTCATATCGAGTCAACCCTTATAAGTCGTTTGCAAAAGTAAACTTAGGCACGCCAATTTGTTAAAAAAAATCATAAGATTTAAGAAAGTAGTTTAAAATAGCGTTTTATGGAAATATATATTTAACATGTAAATATTAACTTCACAAACAGCCTGATAGTTATGCAAGTGTTGTGGAGATACCGTTCCGGGTTTCTTCAGAAATGCAATAATACACAAATTTCAACAATATCTGCATGGAAGATAAAGTAAAAAAACGTGAAAGATATAAGTATTTTGGTAATCCTGTTTGCTAAAAACGGAATTAAGACAGACGGTGATGTTCGTATTATCAAGTGAACTACAAATAAATAAGAAAATAAGTCATTAATGCAGTAAGATAAGACAGTAGAATAAGAGTTAGTGCCGCAACAGTTTAAGATGAGGATACGTAAGTTTTAATTATTTCAGAGAATAATCGACATACATCAATTTTTATGGGTCATTGTGAGATCAGAATTACTAGAATTATTGTTCTAAATAAGAATCCACGGAATAGCACAAGTAAGCCAGGTAGAACTAGATGAGCACAACCGAACTTATTGTATTTTGAATTCGAAATCACGCACTCATCAATTGCAAAATATCGTCGGTTCATACCGACACCACAGTCACGTATGCGTGGTGAAGCTAAAATGATGCCGAAAGGCTAATTTACTTAAGTGTGACACAAAATTTCGTGTTTTTAGTAATAAACTTTGGACTTTTGGGAATAAAATTTGTGTAGAAAGGAAAGTGAGCGAAAGAAGAAAAGAAGTTCTAACGTGTCAAGGAATCGGTCATTATAGTAATTACAATGATAATCGTAAATATAAACATAAGCGGAATTCGGATATATAAATGAAAAAAAATGTAATAAAATAAACGAACAGTCAATTAGATAGATATTGGATCTTGTTTCTATAATTCATTGAGAGCCACACTGATACTTAATAGGTGACACAGACCACTTTCGAAAAGAAAGTCATCAATGAGTCTTTTGAACCAGGTTATAATTTCACTGCAACGGAAGTTTACTAGAAGTCTGTCCAATATAGTTGAATAGCGAATAACGAAGAAATTCTGGCGTACATCTTTGAAGGTTCTTGGAATCGATGGAATATTCTTTTTATTGTGCAGGCTGTGGGATGATACAATAGAGTACGAAGAGTAAATACCGAAAAGTAAGAAGTATCACCTATTAGCCGGCAGATAAAGACAAGTTTTAATTTAATACGTCTGCTCCATAGAAATTCTGAATTGAGTTGTTTACATCTTTCGTGGTATCCCCAAAACAGCTTTAGTTAATCTCCTTTGAACACCCTCCGTTTTTACTAAATCACTATGCCTGAAATTACTGTGAACTAGAATGCTATATTCCATAATGGGTTAGTTACATTTTGTACATGGTAAGAAACTTTATTCGATATTGTTGAAATTTATCATTATGAGTGCAGTAAGCACTCCTGCTTTGGATACGTCAGATTCAGTGTACTCGGAAATGTTCAAACTGTTTCTATACTTCAAACCCAGGTCATAAAAATGTTGAGAGGTCTCAGTGAATGTTTTTGTATAGTCAGATTTAGGTTAAGGCTGTGGCTAACGTAAATAAATCCACTTTTGTCAGCATTCAGTGATCAACTCCATGTGCAGCTGCAAGATGGATTGATTGCAGTAATTAACATACCAAATCCGGAAAGTGAGTTGGTACAAATGCCGAAGTGTTCTTTTCAAGATACTTGAACTGCGTGTATTATCTATGACGCAGTGAATGTGTTTGGTTCCCTTTCGGCGAAATTTCACACCTGAAAGACCAAATGTTGTGAATGCATTTTTCTTCACCTTACCGTGCTTTCTGGGATATTTGTGGTTGTCTTCCAATCATCTGTCATCAATCTTTGCAATGAATTGCTTGATAAGCTGTGGCGTTTGAATGAACTAATGATTGCTTCGTACTTGTTGAATACTTGATTTCGAATTCTAAATACAATACGTTCCTTAGTGCTTGTGTAGTACCTCTTGATTCGATTGCGTTATTTCTGGGATTCTTAGTTCACACTATAATTCAATTACTCCTAATTATCATATAATCTCTCTTGGTTTATTGGAAAATTGAGCCTGAACGACTTGGGCTACGACAGTATTTCCTGAAGATAAATATTCTGAAAATAGATTGCCTTCAATAACTAGAAGAGCTCATAATGGAAGCTAGTAGTTGGGAAATGTGAACGTCGTCAATATTACAACCAGAATCGGCAAGATCTGGTGCTGAACCTAACATTAAACACAATTAAAACATAATACTCATCAAAGGGAAAGTGAGATATGATCATCGAATTTATCAGCTGACTCTTCGTGATAAGAAGGTCGTGAAAATGTAAAACATCCCAACTCAACATTATTCTGCCATAAAACACTTGGACGAATTTGATTAATCTCACATAAATTAACTTTCACACGATGAACATGGCTTTATTTGGCGTATCTAATTAAATTAAAACATCAAAAATCTCAAACAAACCGTAAACTAGACGAAACAGAACTGTGGACGAGACAGCATCCACTGTGACTAAAAGGAATGACGAAAATAGAACATATCCTCACATTAGTAAACGACCTTTACTTGCGGATGTGAAATTTGTAGTCTCGTTATTCTTTTATACATACTTTTAGGTAGTTAAAAAAGGAAATCTGAACTGAGTTTAGATGGATTTACTTAACCCTAAGTGGGATAAGGCAATATAGTGTCCTTTAATTCAGCTCTGCATGGATGATGTCAGAAAGCATTCACTGCAAAAACACGAAGCCATTGAATAGTTTCAGGTTCAAGATCTACCACGAAAGTCAAAACGAGTATGACCTACATTCACCTTAAAAAGATGGCTTGAAATACCTACAAAACTATGTAAATGCATTTAAAATATGTGAAACACTGTCTGATACTCATCCTCAACATTATTGTTGACAGTTTAGTGTTGAAAGTTCGATCAGAGTCATTACCCTACCCGTTTCGATTATTCAGGTCCTTGAATCCCTTTAAGTGACGTTGTCGAAGTAACTCCACATTAGTTCTCAAAAATTCTCATAGTTCTTTTCTTATGAATTGAACGTGTCACTTAATCACAATTCACTGAATTTTGTTTTCGATATTCTGCCTATTTTCATATACACACTTTCGGGTAAGGATTTAACGATATCAAATTCAACTTTGACAGATAGAATCACAGAGTTGTTTGATTTTTGGGATATCAGTCCACGTAGTTAGCGTGGTTGCAGTTGGAATACTCAAATATCTATCTACAGTCATTGAGTATACATCTCTACTGAGCAAAAAGTTTGTTGATAAAAAATTGAGGCTGCTTTGTTTTATTGCCTTAATGTCAGGAAAGTTTACGTTACTGTACTTTTGAGTTAAAAGCGCGAGCGGGACGTCTGGTTTTGTACATACGGAAGCAGTGTATAAACTAGTCTATGTTTTAGGATTATGAGTGATAATAAAAGAGTATCTTATAGTCCGATGAATGCAGAACTTCTCCGTGATGAGAAAGAGCCTTTGCGAGAGGCAGATTTATCCTCTAAGGATATGGTGTGGGTTCCTCATGAACGAGAAGCATTTGTCGCAGCTATCAAGCTTCAAGAACAAGGAGAAAACGTTGTAGTACAGCTCGTGGAGTCAGGAAAGAAGTGTACCTTTCCTAAGGATTATGTTCAAAGAATGAACCCTGCAAAGTACGACAAGATAAAGGACATGGCAAACCTATCGTTTATGAATGAAGCATCAGTATTAAATAATTTGAAGACAAGATATTACTCAGGAATGATCTATGTGAGTCAGCGCATTGTTTCTCATGATAATATAGACATATTCCGGATTGTTTTGTGTGGTTGTAAACCCATACAAACGATTACCGATCTATGACGAAGAGATAGTGGAATGGTATAAAGGAAAGAAGCGCCATGAACGACCACCACATATATTTGCTATTGCTGATGGAGCTTACCGTAGCATGCTTCAAGGTAATCATGTGTAATTTGAGTTTCATGTGTTACAGACCGTGAGGATCAGTCCATTTTGTGCACGTAAGTGTGTTGTTCACCTTTACCGGACTTTGTAGCGGTGAATCCGGATCTGGAAAGACCGAAAATACAAAAAAGGTAATACAGTACCTCGCGTGTGTCGCCACTTCTGCGAAACATCAGAAAACATCAGCCAAAAATGTAATGTCAAAATTTAACGTAAGTACTTTTTCAACCTATTCTGACAAATTTGATATTTGAACACATACTCTATAAACATAATAATAAGGACTAAATGAGGGTTAAAAACTAGTTATAACTATGATTTGCGGTTGGTGGTTGAGGTTAAAAAATAGGTTTAGGTTTTTCATCACGAACTGACATCAGCTATAATGCCAAAACTCTATTTAGCCAAATTTATGGATGAATTTTGGCTATAATTTATTACTCGTTATCTTATGTCTGATTGGTCCGTCCATAAATTAGTTTCGTCGATATAACTTGCAATCATTCCATGGTTCAGTTCACATGAGGTTATAATTACTTTTTGAGCACCCAGATCGTTTGTAACAGCCTATAGACCCTTGGATTTATATGTGTAGGTTCATGCTTCATGTGACTCGTATAACCCTCAGCCACAATATTTTGTCTCAAAAGAGCATCTATCCATCTTTTATTTCCGTAACTTGGAAAAGCAACATGAAATTAAATGCTAACCTTATAACTTGATTGAGTGAACATACAAATATTACTGCGTAACGCGAACACCTTTGTTCATCGATATAACCAAGGTTAGAAATGGTAGTTTCGAATAAATTGATACTGGGTAGGAAGTTGTTAACAATATAATTCTATTATTACCTCCGTCCATATGGTCTTCAACACGTTCCTCAGTTTCTGAACTGTCATATTGCATAGTTTCGCTCAATATCCAATGCTTAGTTTGCCACCAATTCTGTAACATTATTTACAACTGAATAACAAGTTACAATTAATAATGTAATTGGACCCTAATCAAAACTCGATAGTATTATTTTAATCTGGCTTTTAATTTAATTTAATTTTTAGACGAAAGATTTCAGTATTGTAAGTTTACCGTTGCTTTATGTGCACGATGAGTCTTCCACGAATTCCCTATGCACTTGATTTTACTGTTTATAATGACTGGTGATCCTTAAAGGTTCTCTTTTTCCAAAATGATTTTTGAGAATACGTGTCACAATGATTACTGATCATTCACATTGACCTGTTATTCAATTATTTTTTTATTGGTGAAGGTTATGGTGTTTGATTGACATCTGTTTACATTTCATCTCATTTCAATACATTGTTTTCATCTTACAGGGTGAACTTGAAGCACAACTTTTGAAAGCGAATCCCATTCTAGAAGCGTTTGGAAATGCCAAAACAATTAAAAATGATAATTCTTCACGTTTTGTAAGTGAATCATTTCTTCAAAACATTCTTTGTCAGCTAACCAGAAACTGCACTTTTGAATTTCGTCTTGTGCTGTAGAGCCACTATTATAAATCAACCTATATAATTACGCTTACTATTTTAGTTATAAATGATTACATTTTCCAAATATTGATCGATTTCACTGAAATGCAACCAGTTCTCGTTATTTCTTCACTATTTGTTATGCGCAGTTTTTTTAGTCTGTCGAATTCTTGTTTTACACTCCCATTCATTTATCAACCGTCCCGTACTTTCGATCTAGTGCTTCTCCAAATGGAAAACGTTTGCACGGTGAACATATTTCCATCAACACAAAACCTACTATATATCGTTTGACAGAACACGAGTAGTAAAAATCCTGAATTGCTGATTATCCAGGCCCTTTTCTATAAATTTGCTAGCTCATTAGTTCAAGTATATGACCCATGAGTAATTTAATAAAATAATTTTAGGTGAGATAAACAGAATTTGACCTATTTGTGGATAAGAAGTCTTCGTGCGTGAACCACTAAATAAGAAATACCTGGGTTAGAAATAAAGTACTAGGTAAGGATGGCAATTCAATTGATTAAGTAGTGAATCTTCATCTACTAAGGTGTTTGGGACACGTGTCTCTTATTCAAGATGTAAACTCCCTGGTTGAGGTCCTCGTGATTATCGTAACCGATGGTTAGAGACGTTAAATGACATGGCTCAAAGTGGCTTAGAATGGCTCATGTACATCCATTCTTTATCTCCCCCCAAATCCTGAGATTCTAAATTCTTCACAGCGTTTCTTTGCGTTTCTGTTTTACTAATATACATTCACATGAGTGCTTAATTTATTCTATTGCCATTCATACTGTTACTATCTCTACTGTTGTGAGATTTGGTCTGACAGTTTCACCTCTGCTGATGGAGTATGGCGTCTTAAATTGATGTACATATATGACAGGTTTTGTGTTGTAACTGAGTTTTCGTGTTCATTAGTTTACTGGGTTACAATAAGTGCAAGAATATTATCCTAGTGTTACCACTACAAGTGTTCGATAAGTATCTCAATGAATTTATGCTACAAGTTGCGTTGTATTCTTTTACTTTATGTATCATTTTCCATCTGATATTTAAGTAAATAACTAATAATTTCTTTTTGTAGGGTAAATTCATTCGTATTAATTTTGACACATCTGGATTCATTGCTGGAGCTAATATTGAAACATGTATCCCTTTTATGATTAGTTCTTGTGTACACACGGCTTTTCTTTTAAGTTTTTTTCCATTTGGTCAATTAAATAATGTACTATAAATTTGTAACGTGTGTGTTTTAATTTAAGTGTTATGGTACACATAATAAATCAATTTAAACACGTGTTTTCCTTGAGTTTGCACGTTCACCCGGACCCCTACACAATGTAAATAATCCCCCATATATCTTCAGCCTTCTGACTTATCCAAATCACAGAAATCATGCATTACTTGTATTTATTGTTAGTCTTACAATACAAGTATCACCTATGGACATTGAACAAGATTCAACATTTAATGTTTTTGCACTTATGAATAACAAAGAAATCAACATTAATAGAATATATAAGTAGTTAAAAAATATACGTATCAAACAAAAAAAAATTAGACGACAATCACTAAAAACTGTAGGTTTGAGGGATAAAAAAATAAGTATATTTTTGTCGTGGGAATTTATTCCAAGCAATCATCTTGAGTTGTGAACCACATATTTGCGTTATCTTTTTGACCCTGCATAAAGTTACTCCCAGCTTCATTAACTGGTGCCATCTTCATATTTGACCGCTTTTTTAATTTTCATTTTAAAGTCATATGCGGAGATTGTTAATTCCTTATCATAGTATAGATCTTTTAGAGAAAGCTCGTGTTATTCGTCAGGCAGTGGATGAACGCAGCTTCCACATATTTTATCAGCTTTTGGCATCAGCTACTCCAGCAATGCAACAACAACTATTATTAAATCATGCTAGTGCTTATCGTTTCCTTTCAAATGGTATGATCGAACTCCCGGGGATCGATGAGCAACAATTTTTCCGTGAAACAACTGAAGCCATGGATATAATGGGAATTAATAACGAGGACCAAAATGGTACGTTTAATGTAGTTAACTTACATATCCTACTTGTCTCTGCAAATAAAATGTTGATATATTGTCGAGCAAACCTATTTACTTTACACCTTCCAAATTCAGTGGTTCTCAAATAATTTATCCTTTTTATAATTTGTTATTTTAGCCATATTCCGCGTGATATCCGCTGTGCTTCACCTAGGAAACTTAGAATTTCGTCAGGAACGAAGTTCTGACCAAGCAACTTTACCAGATCATTCAGGTTAGTGTTCGGAAATTCGTTAAGCCCTATTATACTTGGTTAGTTGCATGATGTTTAGCAACTTTTGATTTACTGCTTGATATCCATACTCACGTCATACTCCTAGGGTTAATATTCATATTTCAGTTTCGTGTACATAATGTTGCTCAAAATGTCTTAAAGTACATAAAGACAATGTTTACGGTTTTTTTAGTCACGGTTATCAGTTCGTGATCACAAATATCTTAAAATGAAACATGTTCATTAACACTGAAATGATTAATACTTTATTGAATCAGATATCACACCATACCAAATCACAATTTTTTTCATGTTACGATTACTGATGTTGTGGTACACAGCGATTTCACTAAAGTATTTTACCAGCGTCTTCAATAACATTAAGTACATACTGTTATTAAGTATCATAGTTTCATACATCACTTATATGTTCATTACGTTCATATTTTAACGCGATATCACAGCGTCAGCCCTTGGTATTAATATGTTGACCGGATTATTATTCCGATTATTATCTAAGCACACAAAGTATGTGTATAGCATCATAAAAATTTAGTAGAAAAAAGAAAAAATCGTTGACAAAGCAGTGTATGATAAAATGAACACTTCAGTTAACAGTACAATTCGGTTTAAAAAATGCAACCAAGAATAATTCTTTCAGTTAAAGAAGTTCCTCTTATATTTATAAAGAATGTAAAGGATAACTAAGGCAAAATCTTCGGCTTCTGTTTTGACTCACGTGTGATAACGTCCGGAGCTACTGAGTTGACCGGATCATCTATCCTTTGACCAGAATTCGAAATATAGATATGCTTATTCCACTGTTTGATTGTAGCTATATCTCTTGATTCAAATCGGCATGCTATCACGTTGATCAACAGGTTTTATGGGAGTTTTTGTCATTGGAATACATGCTAATAAAGTACACTAAGCTACTGGATTCTCTTTGCCCTAATACTATTGGTCAGGTTAGAGCTTACTGCAAACCGTCATCTGGAATTTGAATACGTTAAATAATGTCCAACAAGGTCCTAGAATAATAACTGGTCTAAAAAAATATTGTGTATTTATTTATTCGTGGTTTTTGTTCAGCACTTCTAAACGATACTTCAAAGTTTTTGTTCACGGGTTAAATCTTGACTATTTGCTATAAATAAGGTAAATCAGTTTAAATACCAGTTTACAATTGGATCGTAATTGTACCACTGCAAACATAAGATCTCGAAGTAGCAATTGAGCACTCTAAAAGTCGTTTGTAGAACTACTTTATTCTTTTCAGCTGATATTATTATAGAAGTAGAATATTATCAAATGTTTATGATATCCTATTTCTTTTTTATGGAATTTATCAATGGTATCGATTTGAATTTATTACCATACGTTACAGTTGTAAAATCTCAATATTTTATTTGTACAACCATTAACACGTACCTTAATACCTTCCCTAGTCGCTGAAAAGGTATCCCATCTTCTGGGTATCCCTCTGAATGAAATGGTCAAAGCATTTCTGAAACCGCGCATCAAAGTTGGGAAAGATCTGGTGTCAAAAGCTCAAACCAAGACGCAAGTGGAATTCGCTGTTGAAGCGATTTCAAAATCTATCTACGAAAGGCTCTTTCTTTGGTTAGTCGCACGAATAAATAAAACACTTGACAAAACTAGACGACCGGGTGCATCATTTGTCGGGATTCTCGATATAGCTGGTTTCGAAATCTTCCAAGTGAGTTGATATTTTGTAACAGTTTTGTATTATCTCCGTGCCTTTTTTACTTTGAAGTATCAGCTTATTTAAGATTATCTGACTGAACCAATCATTGATAGACGGACACACATATAAACAACTGAAACCATAACATATCGATCAAGATTGATACATTATCCAAATCATACCGCAAGCTGTTTGCTTACGCCCGTTACCCCTCATTGAGCATAGGCCGCTGACCGAAATTCTCCAACTAACTAGTTGTTTTCTATTACTATTCATTCTTTTGATGTCTGCCGCCAAGCTGTAGTCAGGGTAAAAGGATTACTGTGAGTAAAGACAGCTTAAATAGCAGTAGGACCTGAAAAATCCGTCAAAATGAATGTTATAGGGTAAGGCATAATAAGGTCCCTACCAATAAATGTATGTACACAAACGCCTGCAGTCTTAAAGCACTACATACAAGATTGTCTTCATTAAATAAAAAAGATTGAGATCGCTGTCATAGTTACTTTATTTTAACACTATTAACCTTTCTTTGTATTGTTAAGAATAATGAAATGATTAGGTGATACTCCTTCGTACTATACTCTCACATTGCCTCAACTAACTGATTATTCTACAACTGCATGTATCTTCAGCACATACTGGTAGTCGGTTCACATATGTAGTAATTTCGCAGAGAATTTCAAAATACAGTTGTCACATCAATTTTTAAAGTTTGTTTCTGCTAAAACATTTTACTTTTGTCTAACCACTCTTGTTCATTGTGATAAATAAGTAAAGTAGTGGTAATCCATTGGTTTGAATCATTTTTTTTACAGGTGAATTCTTTTGAACAGCTATGCATCAATTATACAAATGAAAAACTTCAACAACTTTTTAACCATACAATGTTTATCTTAGAACAAGATGAGTATACCCGTGAAGGAATACCATGGGAATTTATAGACTTTGGACTTGATTTACAACCGACAATCGATCTCATTGAACGAGTAAGTTGAACAATTCTAATTACCCAAACAGTTCGCGTTAATTGATTTTATACCGGTAACTGTTCATCATCGTATGAACGTTTTGCACCATAAATCTCTGTTCATTCGATTTAACGCGTGTTTACGAATCTGAATGGATTTATACATACTGAACTCCTCACTCCATGGTTGATGCATATATTAAATATCACACTTATTCAACGTTGGTAACAAAGAATAAACAGATTTTTTGGTATGTTTTTCTTCTAAAACATGTATAACCTACTCCATTTAGATTTGATGGGTTACCATAGGTTTAAATTTACATTGGGAATGAGTGAGGAATTTTCACATAAATATTAAAGACTATAACAATTGGCATTTTTCCTTGCTAGTTATTAAGAATTTCGACATAATTATTTGATAATTATAAACATATACATCAATAGATCCATATAACGTGTTAACTGCTATCTGACTACATAAACTTGAAATTGATCAGTACTTGGTGATCAATCAATTGTAAATATTTCAGTCTTTGATAAGTCTTTCTAATTGAACGCTAGATTTGGTTCCTGAGCTCTTCTAGTAACCCCAGGGTAGATTTACAGGATTTGAACACGAGAGACAAGGCTCGAAATACATAAGAAACATTTTACTCTAAAGGTTTGTCTATGCGCAGAAAATATAGGGTTTTTATAGTATTTTAGATGTCCTTGGGTTCCCCGAAAATACTGGAGTGCTACTAAACATAGTAGCAGTATAAGTAATCATCCAATCAGAAACTCTACTTATGACTTTTCACTTTCTTGATGTTTCTGGCACAACTTCTAGTGAACGCTGATTGGATAAGATGCTTCTCAGTGTTTCCAGGGCCTTTCTTGGCTTCGAGGAGTTTACCGGATCTCCCGAACAGTCTCACAAGGTCAGTTTTCGCCTAAGTAACTCAGTAGTGACGTCAGACTGTGGACTGAGTGTTGTGAGTTCGAATTATACAGAAAGCATCAGTTCCATGAAGATTTTGGGCAATTCTTGTTAGTGAGTCTCCGTTGGTATGAAAGAGGTTCAAGGTTTCTTGCCAACTAATAGCAACCACTAAACATTTACTGAAATTCATAAATTGTTGCTACTTAAAATGTTTCAAAGTTCTTCCCTGTTTAAGCGGTCAAGTCAGCCGAAAAAGAGATGCCACTTGTCATTGAATTTGTATAGTCGGCTATATTATTTAGATCATTGGACTAAAGCTTTTCCTGACCATAATGCTATGGATCAAATCTTGTAGGACAAATAATAATAGGCAAATGACTTGTTTATATAATTCTCCCATGATTTATTGCTTCAAGATTAGTTTTTGTTCTATTTTTTTGTTTCTGATGGATTCTTTCTCTTCAACTATATTTAACAACTGCGAGAAAAATTTTGTCAGTTTAGACTAATACTTGGTCCCCCTAACCTCTATTAATTCATCAGCATAGAGATCTAAATGAATATATTTGTAAAAAATGTCTGAACACTGTTTCAAAACGACTCCTATCATAGATTCCTTCGTTTCCCTCAAAATAATCCAACTAGAACCTACTGTTATCGTTTTGTGATATTTCACTTGTGGTAAAAAAAGATCTCAAAAACTGTTATTTCTAATCACCAATTTTCAAGATCAAATATTTCCCTAATTGACATTCTCATGGAATCACCATTGACTGCGATAATGAACAAAATCCCCCTTTTATCTTGACCTGCTTTCCCCACTAGTGTCTGTACTAGACAACAAGGTAAAATAAATCAATTCTTTTACTGATAACCATATCTGGCGAGCTACGCAATTAAATTATCCTGCATTTATACAATACCTAATATAACTACTACTGCTTCTGGGATATTCTAAGCCTCTTCTTAAATCCAGATGAGTAAACTTTTATTTGTATCTCAACCACAATGATCAGAAGTTCTGTTTTTTTCTAACTTTAGCCTATGGGTATCTTCGCCTTGTTGGATGAAGAATGCTTCTTCCCTAAGGGAACTGACAAATCGTTTGTTGAAAAACTCATCAAATCTCAGGATAAACATCCAAAACTCTGCAAGACTGAATTTCGATCTAATGCTGATTTCGGTGTTATTCACTATGCTGGTCGAGTTGAATATAATTCAAATCAATGGCTAATGAAAAATATGGATCCTCTCAACGATAATGTGGTCGCACTGCTTCAGGCATCAAACGATCCATTTGTTCAGGTTAGTTTTTGACAGTTCTTTTTTAATTACTACCATATTTAAATGGGGTTTGGGTTACGATCGGGTTCCTGAATCCTTTCTAAATTAGTCTTCAAGTATCGAGTTTAAAAATCGTTTCATTTGAATAGCCAAATAGTATTACTACCTCTCACTGCTGTATTCTTCGACAAGTAAGTATATCACTTAGACGATAAAATTTACATCTAAGTTTTTGATGAGTAACATTTTGTAAACAGAACACTAAACATACTCGCAAATCGTTTCTTGAATTTTCACCTTTTTCATCATATTTAATTTCAATTTCTTTACATGTTTTACAAACATGTAAACGTTTGATATCAGACAGTTGATTTTTAGTATTAGTAGTAGAAAAATACGAATTAAACCAGAGTGAACTGCAAACATCAGGTAGTTTGCATTATAATCTCTAAATTAAGTGCTTCTTTTAAAGTTTTGCTTAATATTGTGTGTTTTAATAGAATAAATCTGTAACAAATCAGCGGAGATATGAGCTTTATTACACTCGTGGCGACTGAATTTTTAAGTGATCACAATAATAAAATCGATGGAAGTTTAAATAAATTTTTATTGATACTAGTTGGGTCGTTTTGCAATGAGTTGTTCTTCCTGCTTGATCATATCACTGATCATGTAAATTAGACAACAACTGTTTCTAAAGTCTTATGATTTTCATCTTGGTTAATCGATCTAATTCTAGGTCAAATTCAAAATTTTGTCCATTTGTATACTATATGCTGTCATAAGCTGTCTCAACAGCATTTGTAAGCTTTTTGTAAATCGCTTTACAGTAGGATTTCGGTTGTTATTGTTCATATGTCTTATTTTTTGTCAGGCTATGTGGAAAGATGCAGAAATTGTAAGCATGTCAGCCACTACTACGACGGACACCGCTTTCGGTTCTGCTCGTAGTGTTAGAAGGGGGATGTTCCGTACTGTAAGTCAACTCTACAAAGATTCGCTTATACGTTTGATGACTGTATTGAAAAATACGTCTCCAAACTTTGTCCGTTGTATCATTCCAAATCATGAAAAAAAGCCAGGGCGAATCGATGGTCCTTTAGTTTTGGAACAACTTAGATGTAATGGTGTGCTGGAGGGCATAAGGATTTGTCGTCGTGGTTTCCCCTCACGTATCCTCTTCCAGGAATTCAGGCAAAGATACGAAATTCTAACTCCAAATGTTATCCCAAAGGTCAGTACTATTTTAACTAAATATCATATTTTCCGTTTTTTATTTATTATCTATCAGTTGTTCAAAAGCCATCAGTTTTTTGATCATTTCTAGTTTCGTTTGGAATGCTGATTTCAGTAATTAAGAATAGTTTTTGAACTGGGTAAAAGAAGAGGTGTGTCCTATTTCGTGACTAGAAATCTACTTTTATGTACAAACAATTTGTGGTTTGTAACACTGCTTTTTTACGTCAAGAAGTATTCCTCATTTGTACAAATCATACGAAGACGTCACATATTTTTAAACAATCTATTCATAAGTCTAATTCATCTTTTAATTTTCATGCAGTATTAGGATTAAATTAGTATTCTGTATATGAAGTCAGTTTATTAAGCAGTCACTAGTGCTTAATCTATCCTTCTTAACCTATTTTCTTGTGTGTACTAACCAATGCCAACATTGTCATAAATGCCAATATGCATGATTAAGTGTAGGTTTTTGTTAAAATATTCATTTGGTTTCTCAAAATTGAAAAATTGAGCTTCATTTAAATACTGTATTATGTCTTACTGTATACACACATGACTTCGTAATGTAATTATTTTTTTGCACCTCACATCACATTCACAGATTTAAAAATCTTTGTTATTTCGAACTGAGAAATCAAATATTCTTAGCATGTCAAATGAATTGATCATGGATGAAACGATCATTAAGACATTCAACTTTCAGTCAGTAGTCTATAACTTTGAATGCTGTCCCATGCGTTTCATTTTGGGTTGCCAAGTGGTGTCGATAGTCTCCACAAAAAGTTGTCTCAAAACTAATTGTAAAAAATCTTGCTTGATAAATGAATTGATGTGTCTTGAAAACTTGATAAATTCACGTTACATTATAAAATAAAATGACCTTTATTTATCCAATCCCAGGGATTTATGGATGGTCGTAAAGCCGTTACTGAGATGTTGAAGGCTCTCGACTTAAGTCAAGACGTCTACTGCATTGGTCATAGTAAAATATTCTTCAAAGTTGGTGTTCTCGCTCAGTTAGAAGAAGACCGTGATATACACTTGACTAACTCGATCATTAAATTCCAAGCATATGCTCGTGGTTATCTAGCCCGACGGTAAGTTTGTTAATTGATCACTTTTTGGTTTATGTTTTTCGTCATGTCTTACGATTTCAAGCTAATAGCTTTTCATTGTTTCATCATTGATTCCATTTCTGTGCGTCGAATAAGCTTTATCTTTGCTTTTTGGACACAGTAGACCTTAAGTTTCTTATTTTGTAGGCACTAGTATGAATTTGGGCTGCAAGAGAAGGAAACATGAGACAACTGTATGACACAACAAAGAATCTCTCTGGAAATCACCGTAAACCAGAACGACCAGTGAAAAGCAAGGAAGGCAAGATAATCACCAACATTGAAGAACAACGAAACAGGTGGGTAGAACACCTCAAAGAACTCTTGAATCGACCAGCCCCACTGAGCCCACCCAACATCGAAGCAGCACTCACGGACCTCCCAATTGATGTTGGCCCACCAACAATTGAAGAGTTCAGCATGGCTATCAGACAAATCAAGAGTGGCAAAGCAGCAGGACTAGACAGCATTCCAGCAGAGGCACTGAAGGCAGACGTAGCGGTAACTGCAAGGATACTCCACATTCTCTTCAGAAAGATATGGAATGAGGAACAGGTACCAAAAGACTGGAAAGAAGGAGTTCTAGTCAAAATACCAAAGAAAGGCGATCTCAGCAACTGTGACAATTACAGGGGAATCACTCTTCTTTCAATACCGGGAAAAGTCTTCAACAGGGTATTGTTAAACAGGATGAAGGACTCCGTAGACGCCCAACTTCGAGACCAACAGGCAGGATTCAGTAAGGATAGATCGTGCACAGACCAAATCGTAACTCTGCGGATCATTGTGGAACAATCAATTGAATGAAATTCATCACTCTATATCAACTTCATCGACTACGAAAAAGCATTTGATAGCGTGGACAGAACAACCCTATGGAAGCTTCTTCGACACTACGGCGTGCCTCAGAAGATAGTCAATATCATACAGAATTCCTATGATGGATTAAACTGCAAAATCGTGCATGGAGGACAGTTGACAAAGTCGTTTGAAGTAAAGACCGGTGTCAGGCAAGGTTGCTTACTCTCACCCTTTCTCTTTCTCCTGGTGATCGACTGGATCATGAAGACATCAACATCTGAAGGGAAACACGGGATACAGTGGACAGCTAGGATGCAATTGGATGATCTAGACTTCGCAGATGATCTGGCTCTTCTATCGCATACGCAACAACAAATGCAGGAGAAGACAACCAGTGTAGCTGCAGCCTCAGCAGCAATAGGTCTCAATATACACAAAGGGAAAAGCAAGATTCTTCGATACAACACAGCATGTACCAATCCAATCACAATTGACGGAGAAGCTTTGGAAGATGTAAAAACCTTTACATATTTGGGCAGTATCATCGATGAACACGGTGGATCTGATGCAGATGTGAAGGCACGGATCGGCGAAGCAAGAGCAGCATATTTACAACTGAAGAATATCTGGAACTCAAAACGATTGGCAACCAACACCAAAGTCAGAATTTTCAATACAAATGTCAAGACAGTGCTACTGTATGGGGCGGAAACCTGGAAAACTACGAAATCCATCGTCCAGAAGGTACAAGTGTTTATTAACAGTTGTCTACGCAAAACACTTCAGATCCGCTGGCCGAACATTGTTAGCAACAACCTACTGTGGGAGAGGACGAACCAGATCCCAACGGAGGACGAAATCAGAAAGAAGTGCTGGAAGTGGATAGGACACACATTGAGGAAAACACCGAACTGCGTCACAAGACAAGCCCTCACATGGAATTTTCAAGGCCGAAGGAGGAGAGGAAAACCAAAGAAAATGAACAAGAATTGGATGGAACTAGAAAAGAAGGCTCAGGACAGAGTGGGTTGGAGAATGCTGGTCGGCGGCCTATGCTCCATTGGGAGTAACAGGCGTAAGTAAGTAAGTAAGTAAGTATGAATCTGGGACCTTAACTGTCTATACAATTTTTAATCGGACTTTAAGCAATCAAAAACTATTATTCTTGTGAGATTGAAACTGTTCTCAAAATCCACAGTGCAATATTTTATTGTATATATATATATATATATATATATATATATATATATATAAACAAAAAGTGCAATTGTCTGTTTCAAATTTTTCATCTAGTTTCTTTTGGTATCTGCTATTAACGCTCTTCGTATATATCTAACTGGTTTATATTTTTTATGGGTATCGTTTATTCTCCCTTCTACAGAGCTAAAGAACAACGCATACAAAACATTCAAGCTAGCAAAATAATCCAAAGGAATTGTGATGCTTACCTTAAACTGAGAAATTGGCCCTGGTGGCGTTTGTTTACAAAAGTTAGACCACTTCTTACTGTTACTCGCCAAGAAGATTTGGTCGCTGTTAAGGAAGAAGAGCTTCGAAAGGTTAGTGTAAAAATCATTTTGGATATAAGCTTATAGTTTCATTTTAAAAGTAATTGTGTATAGTCGTTTTTGAATTCCATTACATCTTATTTCAACCTTGAAGTTCTAATAAAATCCAATTACGTATCTGTTTCCGGTCAGTCATACCAACGTAATAACCTGGCACAGATATCCATCAGTCCAAGTTTATACACTACGTAAGGACTGCAAGATGATATGACAATATGAATACCGAAGTGGTAATATTAATGGTAGTAAAAAATGTCCAAGAAGAAAAAATAAATTCTCATAGTACTAAGTAATTTTTTGTATTTACCCTTCACAACTGTGTTTCATACTCCAGTTCATAAATGTATGAAATTCCTATAAACCTGTCCTCTTCTTTCTATCTTCACACTATCCAGTCATTAATTTATTAGATCGGAGTTAGTATCCTCTACATAATCCTTTTATTATCGTCAGATGATGAGGTAGTCTTTCATAATTTGTTTTAAGAGTAAATGAATTAAGCGTTTTATTACTAATCTAGTTAATCATTATCGAACTGGTTGATTTCGGAAAAGAACATGACAATACGTGACCATGTTCATTTTGTACAATGAATCATATTTATTTACCTAATAGTCTATCGAATCTAATAAAAAATCTCCACATTTATTCCTTTGATATTGTTTTATTTTAGATTCGTGAACAAATGGAAAAAGTTGTCAGTGAGCTTAATGAAATGCAAAGATCCTACGAGAAGTTAAGCAATGAGAAAGTCCAGCTAAATGCTGAATTACAACAAGAACACGATTCAAATCAAAATTTACAGACAGTAAGTTTTTGTGTATGCGTATCAGATAATATCTTTGATCAATAGTCTTTTTATATCATTAGGATGTTTTCGATAATTCACTAAAAGAGACCTTTTCTTTTCTTTGTGGTGTTATGTAGGAGCGTGATCGTCTACGCGAAAAATTACAAACTTTAGAAGAAGACTATATGGAACTTGAGAATAGAGATAGTGAAGAAAAATCAAAATTACATAATCTGGAAGCTGAACAGAAACGTCTGTTAGAACAGGTAAATTCTCATGGATTCTCTTCTTCTGATCATCTCTTTAAAATTAATGTATATTCGATAATGGAATGGTTAAAATATCCCACCTTTAATAGCTAGAAACCACCTTCGGTTTGGGCAGTCGGATTGTACTACTAGTCTTCGCACATAAAATTTAGCTCGTTGTTCGATGATACATGACCCAATAATTGATTAATTTTGTCAAATTTAGTTAATTAAATTTATATATGTACTGCTTAGATTTTATTCCATTCCGAGTTACCAGTATTCTTTCTTCAACCGTTTTTTCTATTCGTATATATATATATATATATATATATATATATATATATATTCTAGTATGGCTTACGTCCCTATCCTCCCATTTTTAAATTTTATGAACTGACAATTCTTCATATTTTTGTCAATTTCTTAATAAATTGATCGAAACTTGTCTTCTGTTGTTCATTTTACACGTTTTCTTAAAGTTGTGTCATTGTAGTAATATTATTTTTGTCTCCAAATCTTAAGCACTCCAATCTGAAGGTTCTTGGTCAGATCTCCTCTGGGGTCGTAGATGCAAACTATTGAGAAGCCTAAACCAAAACAAAACATCTGTCCAATGCTTTCTAGTTCTGAGGGCTATATAACCAAGGTTTTTACTTAATTCTCTATAAAACAATCTCATTCCATCCGAGTTAAATTCACTAATGGATTACTTTGTCCCATTCTAGTACCACTCATTAGCACGTACATACAAGTATTTTTACTAAATTCATTGGTCACTATATTTACTTTTAAACTACCAAAATACATTTGTATAAGATGTTTAGATTTACAACAATTGTTTAACTATTCTCAATCCACTAAATCAAAAAAGCTTGCCCGTAATTCATGGGACGCATTTCCATATTGTATTCTCATGCATTTTTCGATGTAGTATACTCCTGTATATAATTTTATTTCTATTATATTTATTTACTTTTTGATTTGTATTTAACAGATATCAGATTTATCAGATCAGTTAGAATTGGAAGAACAACAACGCCAAAAATTACAGGTTGAAAAGACATCTATCGAACAAAAAGTTTCTCAACTAAATGATGGCTATGTTAGCATTGAAGATAAATATAATAAACTTGTTAAAGACAAAAAGCAGTTGACTGATCGAATAGATTTGTTAACTAGTCAGTTAGCAGAAGAAGAAGAGCGTAGTAAACAATTAACTAAACTTAAAAGTAAATATGAAAGTAACCTTAATGAACTTCAGGATAAACTTGTCCGTGAACAAAAATCTCGTCAAGATATCGAAGTGGCAAAAAGACGACTTGAAACTGAGGCCTCCGAACGTCTAGATCAAGCATCGGAATCGTCAAGGATTGTTGAGGAACTCCGAGCAACAGTGGCTAAACTTGAGACAGAAGTTGCTCAATTACAAAATCGATTAGATGAAGAGATTGTTGCCAAAGCTGTGGCACAAAAATCAGTACGAGAATATAAATCACATATTCAAGAACTCAAAGAAGACTTAGAAGCTGAACGAATGGCTCGTGACAAAGCTGATGAAGCTAAAAGAGATCTGACGGAAGAAGTGGAGGCGATGAGATTAGAACTCATTGACAGTGGGACAAACAGCGAAGCACAAACTCAAGCTCTCCGAAAATATGAATCTGATTTATCCAACCTACGTCATCAACTTGAAGCTCAGTCAAAGTATGTAGTACTTTTTTCAAGCAACATATGCAACCGTTTATGTGTAATGATTAATTAAAACACTTATCCAAGTCATCTGCAGGACATTGGAAAAAATTCATATTTAAATGCTACCTTGTGATAAATAAAGCATTTCCCAGACCTTGTACCGAGATCGACAAAGTGACGTCCTTCTAAACAGAAGACTGCAATTCGCTTTACACTTGGATAGGGAAGTATATTGATCCATTGTTTGCTCAGTTAAATATAAAAGATTTAAAAGCATACTTTCTAGTAGAATCGTGGTCTATAAAAATCCTACTACATTAAATTGTAAATAGTCATCAACTATAACTGAATGGTTAACTGGACAGTCAGTAGAAGACTGATGTTATGGTTTCAAGTCTTCTATATTAATACTAGGTGTTTATATCCAATGCCTTTATGCAGTCATTACGTTGTTTGACCAACATACTTTCTTTACTTTTTAATATATACTCCATATTCAGTAACTTTATATTTTGTTCTGTCTGAATATGCATAACTAATAACGCGTTTTTTATCCATCGTAATACTACATATATCTAGATCAGTTTTTATAGCTTCACTAAATAGGAAGATATTGAGTCGCTTAAATGACACCTTACTAAATGAGCATAATTTTGTGCAACATATTAAGTCACAATTGTTATGCACTCCCTTGTCATAATACTTTATTACCTTGATTTCTTCATTATTTAGTTTTGTTCATTCGTTTCCCATGTAATTTATTTATTCAGCGCCCATGAAGCTACTATTCAAGAGATGCGCAAATCTCATGCCGCAACCCTAGAAACACTAAACGATCAAATTGAACAACTTAAAAAAAGTAAAGTTTCCTTAGAAAGATCAAAAGTTCAACAAGATTCAACAACTGATGCATTACAGAAACAAATTCAAAGCCTTAAACAAGACAAGTGAGTAAATAGAGTATATATATATAGTACATAAAAATCCGCAATAATCTGTTGTATTGGCTTTGATCTTTGTATGCTTGTGTGTGTGTCAAAATAAGTCATTGAATATTTTCAGAATGGGGTCTGTGGAAATTGTGGTAATTTAATGGTTGAATTCGTGAATAGATTTATGCTAGACCACCATGGAAAACCTGTAAAAACTGGACGGCCGTTCCGTCCTAGTATGCGGTCCCTCAGCAGTACGCATCCACGATCCCGCACGCGGGTCTCGAACCCATACTAGAACGAAACAGCCGTCGAGTGCTTCCAGGTTTTCCATGGTGGTCTAGCTTAAATTGACTCACGAATTCAACCATTGAGGATTTGTCCTACTATGATTGGATTATGTGAATCACTTATCATTACTATTATCTTTGCACATATGACATTTTTTATTCGTCATTTTCTGTAGTTTTCTCATCAATTTTAAATCATTCGTTTGAAAGAAGTCAATTCATTATGACATAATTATCACTCACCTTTATTATTTGATATTTATAATTATGTTATATTTAGTACATCAGAAAACGAAGTTGTCGTATGTCACTAAGTACTTCATTTGCAAAATGTCAATCAATCGTCTCATACTTTATTGTTCCTTCATTTCCACACCCAATCGTTCTCCGTTCCCGTTCTCTTTTCTTCGATCTTCATAACCTGCTGCTTCCAGGCATTTCACTTTCGATTGCTAATACATACTACTTGTATCTGTCGACATCAGTAGCACACCATAATGGTACTGAGATATTCACTCTTTGTTTTCATTGAGATTACGTCTTAAAATTCTGCGAGTTCATTGTTTTTCCCAAATCCTGTTGTTTTTCTAACTTTTTTTATTACTAACAATGCTACTAATCTTATCACCTGAAAATTTCACCTTTATGTGCTTACATGGTGTGGAAAATTTGGCCAATCCATATATATCCCCAGATTTTATGCTACCTATGACTAGTTGAAATTAACTATTTTTCCCTTATTGTTATTCATTAAGTTTGGGTGACAGAAATCCATATTTAAGCCTTTCAGCGGCAGAAAAACTTCAACCCTCATGGTAATCTAATTTTTTTAGTTTTAATTAACTCACTTGTGCATACTTTTAATTCACAAACTTTCTACTGCTTTTCCACTTTCCATCAATCTTTATTTCTAGAACGGAAATCGACAAACGACGTCGTCAAGTTGAGCAGCAACTAAACGAAAGTTTAGTCAAAATGCAAGAAACAGAAATGCAACGTAATGATTTAGAGTCCAGACTCACTAAAGCATTGAATGAAATTGAAGGTTTAAATAATGCAATGGAAGAAATTGAAACTAAATTAGGCAAGGTCTCACGTTCTGAAACCTCTGCACAATCTGAGCTCAATCATTTACGTGCACGCTTGGAAGAAGAAACTCAGGCAAAATTAAGTTTACAGTTACAGTTACGTCAAGTAGAGGATGAAAGAGAAACAGTAAAGGATTCACTGGATGCTGAAGAACAAGCCAAAACTGCCCTAGAGAAACATATTATAGCACTTACTACACAGGTTGTTACCCTTCTTTTTTCCATGCGATTATTTTTAGAACGGCTAAAAATATGTAACTCATGTGTTGATTATAAATCGCTTTATAGTCCATTTAATATATGGGATTTATTCTAATTGCGGGCATACTTATAAGAACTCTTACTATCCTTGGGTATTTTTGCCCATGAAATGGAGAAGAACATATATTTCATTCAGAAAAAAACAGCGGAACAAACTAATTTTTAGGGACAGGCTTACCAACTCAATTATGTTTATTTTTTCTGTGTAATTGTACTCATTTGGTTAGTACGTCTTTATAGTGATAACATTTCAGGCATATTGAGCTATTAGTAAGTGCTGCAGATTACTAATACAGATCAAATTGTTTTGAATTTCATTGTAAATTTTTTATTTAACTTGGAAAACGTCTCATCCTATGTCACAGGTTACAATACCTAAGAGTCCATACTATTTGTCATATTTTCTTGTTCCTATCTCATATTCTTTACTTAATTAATCTCCATATTGTTTCATTCGCTATATGAAATTTTTTAAATGTATAGATGCAAGATGCGAAGAAAAAAGTGGAGGAAGATACACATTATTTGGAAACCTTGGAAGATGCACGTAAAAAACTTCAACGCGAATTGGATGATACCCGAAATCGTAATGAAGAACTTGTTTCTCAAGTTGAAAAGTTGGAGAAGTCACGCAAGAAATTACAAAGTGAAGTAAGCTGTTATGTTACTTCCCAAATCTAACAACAATTCACCTGGTTTCAGCTATACAGTTTATGGTGATAAGTTTAATTTCAATCAGTAGTGTTCTATTTACACAAGTGTTGTATCGTACAGCTTATGTGATATTGAATAGCGTTATTCTTATTTGAACTACTATAATTAGTATGTGACTATATAAGGTGTACATTTCATGCTAATAGTATGTTACATAACTTGATGGAGTGGAAAAACGAACATTCATTGCTCCGACTATATTTGGAAATCTTATTTTTGTTCAGAATCCCTTCAAAGTTTGAACAAACTGATCAAAAATTATTTATCCTACTACCAACCAACCAATCTACAAGAACTAACTGCCTTAGTCGCATTTTATTTATCAAGTATTATATCCATAAGTCGTTGATGCATTTCTTATTCTTTCACTGACCGCCCAGCCGATAAGTTCAATATCTTTTATTGATCAAACGATTGAAAGTGGGTTCCCCACTATTTTTTTTTGTCAGTAGTCTTGCTAGCTAACTAACTATGTAAGACTATACTTTCGAACATTTTTATTAGTTTTTGTTAATTCCCACTAATTATGTGAAGTATCAATAAAAAAAGTCATCGGTAAATCAAAATAAACGAAATATTGTCTGCTTGCAGTTTAATTTGCAGCTGATTACGAAAAAAAACAACTCTTTCATTATGGCCTTTTTCTCATCAAATTATGATTCTGAACTGAATCTTTCAATCATAAACGAATACGTTTTTTACTCTTTACTAAGTTGTGATTATTATATAAATCTTTTTTCCAGCTTGAAGATATGAATCATGTCATGGCTAGTCAACGATCTGATCAAGCTAATAATGAACGTCGAATCAAGAAATTAGAATCAACTCATGCAGAAACTGTTAATCAACTTAATAGTTTTCAGGCTCAAAAAGATGCATTTTATCAAGAAATGCTTGAAAAAGACACAAAATTATTCACACAAAAGAATGAAATGGAAAAGCTTAGAGAACAGCTAGAAGAGTCAGAACGTCAGCGTTCACTACTCACTCGTGAATTAGAAGAACTTGGTTCTCATGGGGATGATGCTGGTAAGAGTTTAGTAGGGTTGGAACAAACGAACTATCGTCTAAATGAACGATTAAAAGAAACTCAACAACAAATAGAAGAACTAGAAGATGAGATCTCGACATTTACCATGGAGAAACAACGTGCAGAGGTTAGTTGATTCAATCAATGACAATTTGTTTTCACCTTTTCCATAGAATTAAATATATGTATATCTTTTCATGATGAGGAACTTCGTTTATTTTTTATTCGGTAGGTTCAAATGAATGCTGTTCGCACTCAACTAGAACGAGAATTGGCGTCTCGCGATGACTTGCTCGAAGAACAAAGACGTCAATCTCTTAAACGTATCAGGGAACTTGAAACTGAATTAGAAGAAGAACAAAGAGAACGTGCTAGTCATCTTAATGTTCGCAAAAAATTGGAAACTGATCTTGCAGATATTAGTCAGCGCTTTGAATTAGCGAATCGACAAAAAGAAGAAGCTGTAAAACAATTGAAAAAATACCAAAGTGTTACTGGTGGCATTCAGCGTGAACTTGAAGATGCTGCCCGTGCTCGTGATCAAGCTATAGATTCTGCACGAGAATTGGACAAGAAATATCGTATGCTGGATGCAGATAAAGCTCGACTTCAAGAAGATTTAGGTGTAAGTGAAAGAACTTGTCGTAATCTAAAGAGTGATTTAAATGAAGCTTTAGAGGAGTTATCTGTTGCAAATAATGCCAAGTAAGTTGCTTATTTGTTCTGATATCAATTTTATGTGTTGATTTTTATGTTATATTACGGCTAAAATCAATTATCTCATATATTCTTTAGAACTTTGGCACTGGAAGAAAAGAAGCGTTTAGAAGCTCGTATTACTGCTTTAGAGGATCAACTGGAAGAAATACAAAGTGCCATGGATGCTACAGAAGAGCGCCACAAACGAGCCTACTGTCAAATGGAACAAGCTCAGACAGATTTAAGTGTCGAGAAGAATAACTTCTTACGTTCAGAGTGTCAGAGAGTCTCTCTTGAAAAACAGGTACGTTCTTTAAAGTTGTTAATTGTTATATCACATCCAACAAACTAATTTTTGACTTCCCACAATTATGGTTTCATTTCTTGTTCGCCTATGGAATTTTAGGTGAAAGAATTACGCGATAGACTAGTTGAAGCTGAAAAGGAAGGAGGTCGTCGTGGTAAAGCTCAAATTGCAACATTAGAAGCTCGTTTGACAACCTTAGATGAGCAACTAGAAGCAGAAAAACTAGAGAAGTTGAATGCAAATAAAAATTTCCGCAGAGCTGAAAAGAAATGCAAAGATCTAATCCTTCAAGTTAGTGTTTTTTCTTTACTTTTCTTATTTTATTACCGGTATCACATTTTATTTATTTCATTTCTACATTTATCACATTCTTATACGTATAGATATATGTAACTTGTGAATTCATGCAGCAAATTACTAGTCCATTTGTCAGAACGCTACTTAATGTTTGATTCATAGAAGCTTTTCTCATTTATATATACTTAAATGATTATTTATCAAGTGAAATGGAGTAGTTACTTCCATTCCACCTCATTATTTAAAACAACTTCCTTTATGTTATGCCTTGAACAAATAATCCTCCTTCGATGATGAAATCTACAAGTTAACTGTTGAAAATACTATAGATTCATCATTAGGAATTGTACTTATAAATATTTTTTATATAAATTATAAGAAACATCTAACAGGGTAATTTATTTATGCATTTAAACACAGACGTTGGTACAAGGATGCACCAATTACATATATGTCACACAAATCACTCGATATGTATGAGTGCTGGAATACTGTCCAGGCGCCCAAACTAAAGCAGGTGGTTTTCTTAGGTGGTCAGTCCCCGAACCTTTGACCTAGAGGTCTAGTTCATAAGGCAGCGGAGTAGCTTTAGAAAGCGATCCCATGGTAGCCGGTGATCAACAATAGGTTCATGCACTATTTGTCCCTTCAGGATCCTGGAGCCCTTATGCACCATTGTTTTGGAATCAGGGTTTTATAGATTTTCCATATCCACCAACCCGGTTAAAGCACCGGCCATTCGGTCCTCTCAATTCGGTAAACAACACCCCGCCTGTCAGCGACTGTATTCGCGTGGCCATATGATAGCATTTCGGGAAAGAGAGCGGACTCTCCCCACCATCTACTGTCCCAGAGCATTTGGGAGAAAGTGGAGAATAACATCAATTTGTTCTTTTCTATATTAATCATATGTTAACTACACTTATACTTATCATATTGTAAATAAATTGTCACTCATATATGAATTAAACCTAACGGTTGATGTGTAAAATTTAAAGGTAAAAATTACCAAAGGAAGCTAAATGCTGATAATATTTTGAAACATCACCTGTTTAACTTTAAATATCAGTGTAGGTGTTTGTCTTAATTGGGTTATGTGTACACTCAATCCACAGTCATATTAGTGATATCCGCATTGTTTAGTGAATAGCAGTATTCAGTCGATATTTGAAATTACTATTGATTTTGTGTTGTTTTAACTAGAATGTTTATTACTTTAACTTAATTAATTACTTAATCATTTTTATGATTATTATTTATTACTTCTATATATGTATATAATATTTTCCGGTAAATGTTGTCTGATTTGTCAAACTGTATAGAATGATGATTTGAGACGATGTGCAGAAGCATTGAAGGAATCTTTTGAAAAAGCTCAATCTTCATGTAAACAAAATAAACGAGAAATAGCAGGTCTCGAAGAAGAGAACGCCAGAATCAATGCAAGATGTCGCCGCCTACAAAGAGATTTGGAAGAAGTAATGGAAGCTAAACGAACCATTGAACGAGATCTACAAAATCTTCGTAAACTTAGTCGGTACGTCTGTTATATTTTTAAGTATATTTATTTTAACAGTTTACTCAATGTGATACCAAGTAATAAAAGCAGAAGAGGGTAAACTTTTAAGATAACGTTTTGTAATAATAATTCAGTAAATGTAGATTGATGTAATTGACAAGTAGAATCGAGTTCATCATCAAGTTGAGTGGGTTTTTTTGCCAATTAAAATATAGGAAAAAATATACAGCTACACAAACATTATATGTGAATAATAAATTTTTTTGCTGGTTAAAGAGAAGTGATAATCTAGAGAGGCGTAAACAACTGATCGTTGACAGTAATAAGAAAACACTATCTCGTCAAGAAGAAATAGATATTGGCTCTGGTATGCTTTATGTTTATTCAAATGGAAGATTGGAATTGTACACCATTTAAACAATGTACATACCTTGTTGTATTTGTTTTTGTATTGTACTCGTAGTAAACAATTTTTCATTTAATAGCATGAAAAGGAACATGTACTCTAAAAGTATATGAACTTATTTATTCGGATAGTTGATGTGCTTCTAACAGAAAATGAAGTATAGATTATCTACTCTCAAGCTTTCAATAATTAAAATAAGAAATAATGGTTTCATAGAAGAGTTCTCTTTTCAGCAAATTCTTTTTCAAAGCAGTGTAATCGCAAATATATAGTAGTTTTATTGTTGAGGACTTGAATGCTCATTATGACGATAGATAGGAAATATTCAAGCCCTTAACAATAAATTCATTATTTTCCCTGATAAAAACAACATTCTAATACATTTATTTATTCTACCTCACTATTATCATGTTTAACAGAATTTTATTATCACTTATTGTAATTATTGTCATCTTGGAAAATAAGTATATATTTGCGATTGCACAGATTTGAAAACGAATTCGCTGAGAAGAGAACTATGCTCTGAACCAATCTTCAACGAGTATATTCTGTTTACTTTCAATAATTATCTTATAAGAAATAAACCACATACACCAGAATAGGTGGAAATGTGCGAAAAATTGAAAATATTTGTAAATGATATACAGATAGATAATGGACAGCCCCAGTAACTGAATATTATAACGGAAAATATAACCATCATTATTCTCAGTGTGTGTTTGTGTATACTGCAAATAGTGACGTTATAAAGGAGAAAGTAGGTAATCGTAGCAAAAAGACCCAGACGATTTCTATTCATCATCGAAAAGATGTGAACCGTTTAGAGATAATATAAGTATCGAGTATGAAAAAAACTCGTAGACACAGAATGGCCTGTTAAAATATCTTATTTCTAAAACAAAAAAGAAACAACACACAACCACGAGAACAATTTTGGTGAACTATAATACCCGAAAGTGATTATGGTCCTGATCCAAGCCGCGAGAAGCATATAAAACATAATTTTTCGTGAATGCACGTACGTTTTCCGGTTTATTTTTTATTTTTTTTATTTTAACACATAAGTATAGGTACAGGGAGGCACCAAGTACATATGCGCCACACGAATCTCAATTGATTTGTGTGAGGGCTGTGATACTGCTCGGGTGCCCAAACCGAAGCAGGTGGTTTTCTTAGGGGGCCACACCCCGAGCCTTTGACCTGAACGTCTGATCCACAAGGCAGTGGTGCATCGTGAGGAGATGCAGTCCCATGGTAGCCGGTGACCAACGATTGGTTCATACGCCATTTGTTCCCGCAGGATACTGGAGCCCATGTGCACCATTGGTTTGGGGTCCGGTTATAGCGCCAGACATTCGCTTTTCGTCCTCTCATTTTTGTAAACAACACCCCCGCCACGAGAAGGCGGTGAGTAGGACTTCCCTGGCAGAGGCTATATACGCATGGCCATGTGAGAGCATTTGGAGAGGGAGAGCGGTCTCTCCCCACTCTCGGCCGTACCAGGACATTTGGGGGTTTGCGCTTTTCTTATCATCTACTTTGGTGCATACACATTTTTAGTGCTTGTTATATGGAAAAAGTACAAGCAAAACATTTTAAAAGAAAAAAACTGAACTCACTTAATTAGTGTTTTTACACTAGAAAAATTGGGAGTGAAAGGGGGTCGGTGTACTAGAGAGAAAAAAGCATTATTTTAGCACTACACCCCAATCAACGTGAAAGACGTATGCATATGTGTAGTTAAGCTTACTGAATTTCATCCCTTTCAGGAATTCATAGTGATTATGTTGTATGGTTATCCATAGGATTTTTCCGATGGTACCAACACATTCTCTCTGTCCTTTCTTACTACTGCATACACATACATTAAATAGCATCTTATTAAGGTTTTTTCCGGTCATCAAGACTAACTGATTTGATATGGGTTTTTTTATTACCGTTGTGTTGTGTATTTCTGTTTAAAATCCTGTATGCTTTTTACTTTTCTCCGGTGATTGGTATTCCCTTTCTTTGTTTACTTCTCACATAGAGAAACGGTTTGCATGGAATAATGATATTTTCTCCCTCTCTCTGCGTATGTGTATTTTACAAATTATTCGTTATCAACGTAATCATTTGTGTGTTTGAATTTTCTTAGTGTTTTAGTGTTGTTGTGTTTTCATGTTTTATTTGACTGACAAATATCAAAAAAATTTTAATTATCATCATTATATTCTTCTTTTCGCCTATTATTAGAAGTACGACTCGTCCAAATCGTCAATTGCCGACTGTACTTTCAACACTTTCACCTGATGTTACAGGAGATGAACATAATTCAGTGAATGAATTGGATTCTATAACTAGTGATTTTGGAAGCAGTGGATCGGTTGCTACTCACAACAATAATAATGCTTCTACACCTTCAGCTAATGAAAATTGAATTTTTTTCTATTATCTACAAATTATTATTATTATCAAAAAATATCACTGGGAAAGTCTTGTTTTACCTTCCTATTTTTAAATTATTTTGGACAACTCATAGTACACAAATATGCTGCTACACAATTTGCACAAACAGCTATACACTTTATCTATGGTATACTACTATTATGACTGGTGTGTTATTTTTCTCGTCGCTACATCACAATTTTCAAAGCCAACCTAAGTTTACTCCCCGTACATATATGTGTATGGCAGTTGTTTCAATTCTCTATTAACTAACACTACAAGCATTATTATCTTGATAATTATGGTTGCTTTATGTATCGGAAGAATTTTCATTCCTTTACGCTGAGGTGCGTCACTAAAACTTCGAACCTTGGTGTTTTCAAACCTCCGGTTTTTTTTAACAAAATAGAAATAAACTTTTTCTAACTTTGTTGGTTTTTTGACGATTCTGATTGGATTTTTAGAAAGATTTTTTGCCCTTTGCTCTATTTGTAAATCAATGTTAAAACTAACAACATATTTGTTATTGCTTGTTTAATTATGATATATATTTCAGCCTTTATCAGCAGTCAGATACATCACTCTAAATATGACACATCACTTTTCTCAAGATATGTTCTTTCCTTTTTGTTCTATAAATATTGCGTCCAACCGTCAACAGTTAGAATTGTTGAAATTTATGCTATCTGCCTGCCTTCTCTGCAAACAAAACTAATTTAAAATTGATATGTTTTTTTATCATGAGATGCGTTTTTTAAAAAAAATTATACTTGCATAACCTATAGTTCTTTTCTGTCTTCGACCTTTGATGTCAACCTGAACGTTGTCTTTAGCTCAGATTTATTGATTTTCGTTCTGACCACAGGATAAGCAATGCTTGGGTTATGAATAAAGTACTAGGTAAATATGGCAAGTCGATTGATTAAGTAGTAAATCTTCATCAACTTGAGGTGTATGGGACATGTCACTTATGTCTATCCACAACCTTTATCGACGGGCAGTGTCTGATGTAGAAGTAGGCTATAAGAAAGGTAGGGGCAACCAGATTAAGACATAACATCAGTCCATGAAATCATCGACAGTTGGAGTGAGCCATGTTAATAGGTGTAAACTACCTGGTTGAGGTCCGCGTAATTATCGTAACCAATAGTTAGAGATTTTAAATGACATGGCCCAAAGTAGTTTGAATCGTAAATGCCTGATTTATTCTATTGCCATTCATATTGGTACTGCCTCTACTGTTGTGGGATTTGGCTTGACAGTTTCATCTCTGTGCTAATGGAATATGACAGCTTGAATCGATGTACATACCTACAGGTTCTATATTGTGACTCACCGGTTTTCTTTCTGATTTGTTACTGTCAGTTGTTTTATTTGAATAAATCGATGTGTGTAATACCGGTTACAATGTGTACAATTCACTATTAGATTCATGTATTCTTTTGTAGAACAGTGGATACTTTTATTGCATATTTTTTAATCCATATGAGGTAGTTACGTCTTAAGTTACAATCCACATCTTTACAGATATTTTAGTGTGCATTTAGAAACTTCAGTTCTATAACTTATCCTTTAGTGCCTTAACTGCACTTTATCTTTGTTTTTTTAAATGGTTCTCTCAAACAAGTGTCGCTGTATTTGATTATTCTGTCGTTCATTTCAACCATCTTAACAACTTTTAAGGTAGTATGATACTTCACACATGTTAATCTGTTTGGACTATACTCGTACATACTCAAGCACAAATCGAAACGTCTTCTGAATTAATGATTATTATCCTATTATACGAGTAATGTACAGCTATTTATCTTGTGGATGTTTTTCACACCGATTCACAATTCTCTAGCATACAAATAATAATTGTTTACCATTCAAGTAACTGACTCAGCATTCCACTAGACAAGATTTACGTAGGTAGCTTAGTGAGAATTCAATCGATAAAGCGAGCTACTGAGTTTATAAGTATATAGTATTGAGTCACGTGTGCATCAAAATGTTCTGTAAACTTTATTTTGATAATATATGCATTTTATATTTTCCATTCAGGAAAAAACGCAGATTTATATGGTATATTCAGTTTAAAATGTGATCTAAATGTCTAGTTAATTATTCAACGCACATTATTCTGACTAGCTTTTCATTTTGCAAGTATGGATAAATGTTAATTTGAGTATATAGTTATGGAAATGACGAAAATGAGTTAACGGCAGGAATTAACCTTGGGAATTTACTTCACTCACTCCACCAGAAAGAGTAGCACTGATTAGACTTTAGACTCTTCATCTCTATTTTGTATCTATCAGTATAGGGTAGTGGAAATTATTGAGTTTTTTTTTTTGAGATCATCAACTGGTCATCCTTAGACGATTGAAAAACTGGGATCACGATGGCCTTTTCGTTCTGGTATGAAGCTATTCAGCGGTGCGCATCCACTATTCCGCACGTGGGACTCGGACCTAGTGTCTTACCGAGGTTTCTGTGCAGGATAACTGTGTCTTTCGAAGTTTAATACTTGAAGTGAGCTAAATTTTAGAAACTAATCACCTTGTCTACTAACTTAAATAATGGTCTCATTCTGATCTTGATAAATGTGACCTACGTTCTGAAAGTAGTAGTGATCAAATTTCATACTCTTAGATGAGGCTACGGTTTTGTTATCTCACGTTATGCTAATTATTCTAGGTTTACATATTTTCTACACTCATGAAGTCAGGTATCTATATGAGTGAAGTAGTTGCTATAATTTACCTGTTCATTACAAAAAGAAACATAACCTCCTAGGAACTTTTTTCAAATCCCCATTATTGTTACTGCTTGTATAGTCGACGTCGTCATCGGTTGTAACCGATATAATGGGACGAGTAGTGTGAAAGTGTAGCTTGTAAGACTGTCAGACGAAAGATTATTACACGTATTTTTATTGTGTAATTTTTAGACACTTGAATTGTTCACCTATATCTAATTTTTCTTTTGACCCATAAATCATCATGTAGGTAATTATTTCTCTATTACTACGGCTTTTTATCACTTACGACTAAGGTACATACATATTGTGATTTTCTAACCGTGTTGGTGTATGTTCATTCATTCAGGTATATTATTATGTGTTTTCAGTCATGAAGAAGGGTAGAATAGATAGCTGATCTGCTATCTGTCATCATATGCTGATTGAATATTTGGTTGGTAGGAGCAGCTTGAGAACAAATAAGCATCGATGCCTCGGTGGCTATTTATTGTTTGATGTCATCTGGTAAATAAGTCACTGGTCGTACTGGTAATATAGGTGATCCAATTAATGGTCAAAATAAAGAGAGGGGAAATACGACGGCCGTTGCAATTACGACTTGATCATACGAGCTCCAATATAATCCAGGGAATTCGTTTCTCTATTTTTCAATTGCATCAATAATTCTCACAGGTACATAACTATTCAGTCTAATTATGTAGTAGAATCAGTAACAATGACCAAACAGTCTTCTAATATAAGGCTACTTTAAACGCTTGAACTTAACATGATTGTCGATCAAACATTTAATATTCACATTATGGATGTTATGATGCGCTAGTGATCGAAGTTGAAAAGAGACACAAAGGTATATATATATATATATATATATATATATATATATATATATATATATATATATATTTGAACAAACAAATATATACACAAAACTTCCTGTTACTTTGAATTGATAAATTTTGTGAAAGATGGACATTGAAATGCTCAGGCGGTAGTTACTATGTTTTATACAACTGATGAGACGAATATTTAGATTATTTTAAGTTGTTCGCTACCCTACTGACTATAGTCTTTTGATTTATAACATGGGTTGAACTATTTCATTGTTTTAAGTTAAGAAGCTTGTAATTATTGATGATAGAATAAATTCAGGGATTTGCAAATCTTTTACCAAGAAGAATTCCTTAGATCATATGACTGACCTCTCTTCCACTATCATAGTTACGAGTATAGTGTGCTGAAATATTGGTCACACAATTCAAACATGTTACTGATCTAACAAACTGGTGCAACTGGCTTAATCTAAAACCTTTAGGTTTTATTGTACTATACACTCTCACATAATCTATTGTCTTAATATTATATCATCAATAAATATCCGTGCTTTTAACAACCGTAATATATCGTGTTGGCAATACGACCTAACCCAAAACCTAAGTTTTAAAGCTTCCTGCTAATTACTTTGAATTACTCAAAATCAGTAAATCTTCTTAGAATGATAGAACATTATAAGCAACCTGCTTTGATGAGTACCAACATCAGATTTTGAATTTATGACTTCGGTTTCTATTTAATCATGCAGTTTTCATTATCAATTTTATTATTAGGTAGTTTTTACCCAGATTATGATGGAACTTAATATTTGGATACCATTGTGGTGTACGCTACTTATGTCTGTTGATATAAGTAGTGTGCAACACCGACCAAAAATGGAATACCTATCAAAAGAAGTTTAGGAAAATTGAAATGAAGGAAAGAGAGAGGAATTGAAAGAATCATGAAGGATGTAAAGGTCAATTAATGAAAATTTGTAAATGAAATTTTTAATGTATGGTTTACACATTTTATAAAAAAACTGTAAGTTTGCATAAAGTAAATGAATTAGTCTTCCCCACCTGAGTTCTCATTCACTACAACACTATTCATGCACCATAAATAGATTATCATAAAAGTTACTTTCAAGAAATTTTACATTGTTTTAGTGCGTGCATATATCACCTTAACTACCATTCTAAGTATACTGGTTGAACGCTGAATTGTGACCATTGTCATGTATGTTTCATCATCTACTGCAAATCGAGTTTTATTAACCACTATCTGTGATATATTCATTAGCCTAAGTGACTTCAAGTACTTTTTTTTTATTAATTCAATATGTATTACTCCTTTTTAAATATTTCTCAGTTCATATAACGTAATAAATGACCATAACACAATTGAACATGATTCTGACCTAGACATTTTTTTAGAATCAACCCAATAACTGTTTTATTGAATAGAAACTAACAAATAAACAACAGTCGATTATTTTATACATTAAATTTACGTAACATTTCTTACTTCAATCGATTTATTACATATCAAGATAATTTGAGAAAAAACAAATTGATGAAACAAATCAATAACATGGTTTCTTATCCACATAAACGTATTTTACTAATTGAACTAATGAAAGAATCTTAATGAATATCATAAGTAAACTAATAAAGGATGACTTTTTCTTTCAAAACGAAAAAAATATTTTCAAAATTTAACTACTTCAACTACTTCTGAATAATAATGATATCATAGTTTATTATGGTATTGAAGTGTAATGTTCAGTTATTGTATTTCTGTTTTGGATTTTTGTTCAGAATATGATTATTCTGATCAAAATACATAAATGTATGAATTTCTATGTTAGAAATCATGTGAATAAGAAACTTAAATGTTTGAATGATTATTCAATTAATCTATAAATAGACAAATTTATCATATAAATATCCAAGTAATTTTATGTTCAATGACATTGAGTTTAGTTTATGAAAAAATTATCTTACATAACCACTTGTATGTAAATGAAATATTACTCTCTTATAATAATGAAAACATAGTTTTCTGAGTTTAGGCAATGAATTTATTCTCTTTTTCTTTCTCTCAATGTATTCCATTGTAATTTTTTTTTCTTAATAACATTTAGGAACACTTGTGTAATAATCATCAGTAAATTTAATTCTGTTGATGTCTTGTATTAACCTAACAGAATATTCAGCTTTTA